AAGACAACGTCTGATTCCCGAGTCCAAGAGCTCCCTTACTCGGCGATCTTCATTTGAACACTGTGACTTTTTTGCAAAAATTTGCAGCCCTTTTATTTTGCTGCGTCTTGAATTAACCCCTTCCAGAAAAGAGGGTCATTCAAGGACGCAGGGGGATTTTTGTGCGGAATTTTCTCGCGGCCCTACTGTGAAAACAAGGCGCCAAATCTGAGCCAAAACTGTAATCCAATCGGCGCATCACCTGGATGCGCTGACACAAACAAAAGTTAAAATTATTCCAACAAAAGGGGTGTCCTGAAATAAAAAGCAGAACAAATTGGCAGAACAAAAGCCTTTGAGGCCAGAAAAGGAGAGCAATCCCCGGAAACGGGATAAAACAAATCGCCGAAAAAGTTGGCGCCTCCTTTTGACAGGGGGACATCGACTCCTCTGAAAAAATTTGGGGTCATTCAACCCCTCAAGACTTTGCGGAAAAACACAAACCAGCTGTCAAGGAAGAGACAAAAAATCTCGTCTCCTATACGGTAAAGCAATTTGTCTCCCAAATTCGGGACTTCTTGAGCTGTCAAAGAACTCGAGTTTAGAAATGCTCAGCTGGCAACTTTATAGCTTTAACAACTTCGTAAACTGTCAAGAACCATGTTTTTCAGCAGAAAACTAATTTAGCAAATGGTTGAAAGATTGTAAAACATCCACCCGGTTTTTGGAAAAAATACACATTTGTGAAACCTCTGCAAAACAGCAGATGTTACCACCTGGTGTTTTCAAATCTGTGCAACAAGGAAAACCCCCCAAAATTGGTGCAAACTTTGTATATAAACCTCAGAAAATTGGGTAACAAAAACAGTCAAGTTTAGAAGATTGAACTGCTGAAGTTGTGTTTTTGAAATTGGAATTCGGTACTTAGAAAATTCTTTGCTATCAGGGTGATTTCGGAATATTACGCATTCAGAGGCTTCGGTACTTTGCCTCTACGTTGGTTCTAATCTACTTTCGTCAAGAACAGAACTCATCTATTTTAGTTTGTTCTTTTGAAACAGTGTACAAATATTTTATCAGATCGGGAACTTGAATTTGTTACAAAATTCTGACCTTAAAGGAGCTCAAGTCCACTTGTGGACCTCTTGAAATCCTATTACTTGTTTAGTGCTGATTGCTTTTGATATCCTGTGTGTTTGAGTGTGCATACCTCAATTTTGTACAAACTGTGTGTGTGTGTGTGTGTGTGTGTGTGTGTGTGTGTGTGTGTGTGTGTGCTTTTTGTGATTGCAGTGATGAGAAAGAAGTGATTATTGAGCAGGGACATAGATCACAGCGTGTTGCATTATTTGTGTGATGATTTCGTATTGATGCGCAGTTTGATGCGCAGAAAGTAGTTTATGATGCATAATAAAAGTCGGATAAAAGGATTGTTAGTGAACTCTGCGCATTCATTTGGTTNGTGTGTGTGTGTGTGTGTGTGTGTGTGTGTGTGTGTGTGTGTGTGTGTGTGTGTGTGTGTGTGTGTGTGTGTGTGTGTGTGTGTGTGTGTATCAAAGAAAGGTCTGGGCTAGAGGGGAGAAATCCCAGGCCAGTTTTTGCCTGGCCAATTGCTGTGTTCAATTTAATTGATTACCTATAATCAAAACACTACAACTTTACTCTGCTGACAGAACCAAGGTGTAAGGCTTGATAAAACTGATCTCTAAGAAATAAAACCTTACACAAGCATCCCTAAAACAAGGACATAAACGGTTGTGTTGAATTCAATTGAAGGGAATGGATTACCATCTCACAAGTTTTCTTTGGCTTATTTTCTATTCATTCCAAAATTCCAAATTTTCAGGGAAAACATCTTTTCAAATTGCTGTGTCCCAATAAATTAGCCCACTTGACAGTTGGGCCAAATTTACCGGGATCTGGCAGAAGTTCTTGACACTGCTGGCAATGGGCCCCCCACATTCAACCAAAGGACAAAAGAAGGCTTAAAAATGGAGCTTGACAGCAGGATAACCATCAGAAAGACCAGAGCTTGCTGCTGCAAAACTTCCTGTGAAATTCTCAACAATTTTTGAGAACGGGAGTGTTTGCTGAAAAATACTTTTTGACGCGAGCAATTCTCATTTGGTGAAATTGTGCATAAGTATGTTGTATAGTGAAGAATCCGAGAACACGCTTGCGCTTATTCTCCCAGGTGGCACACCTGCCAATTCAACTACCAATTTATTTCTGTGACTTAGCTGTCAAAGATTGTCACAAAAAACATACAAGTCTTCGACCACAAATCTTTCTTGAAGTCTGTAAAATACCAACTTTTGTAAAATAATTACATCTCTGCGTACCTCTTTGAGTATGTACATTTCTCTCCTGGGATTTTCTCTCAGATAAAATTTTTACATTATATATTCAGCTTGCAAGAAAGGGTGATCAGAGCAATGAAAAATATGCATGGTCTGCATAACTTGGAGTAAGTAATTATACAGTACCTTTTTGAAATCAGAGCTCCACCCTGCCAAGCAGGGTATCTGGTGGTACCATTTATGGTAGCAACGGTAGCATCAACCCTGGCAAAATAGGGCGCATTTGTTTTGTCCGTCTCCACTACGCCGCCTTCGATGCGAAAAGAGGCAGAATTGCTTCCAGAAGAAGTATACATTCGGTTGGCGATTAGAGCAATTTTTTGTTGCATCTGATTATGCACAGCACTAGCGAAAATGTTGCTCCCGACGTCACTATTTGATCCTGTGCGATTAATGACGCGAAGTTGAAATTCCAATGTACTAAATAAAAATTACAGATCTTCAAACTTACCAGCAGTGTTAGCAATGCAGTGTCGGATTGCCGCAATGAGGAAAAATAAAACCACTTTTCCCATGACGTAGACTGCATCACGGGACAAACGCATATTCATTGGGGAATTTCAACAGCAACCAGTTCAAAATCAATCAACAAGCAATATCCATCAAGGTTTCCTACTATAATAAGGCATCCAGAGGAAGAACCTCATATCAGCAAATATTTTGGATGCTTTGTGAAACTGTTAATAATTGGGGAGATAAAATCTAGTTTTTCACTGCTCAGATCAAGGTAAACTTTTTCTTTACGTTGGAACTCCGCGGATCACGGCCGAATGAAAAGTAATGTCTTGACTTTGACAATGAACTGCTCAGTGCTTCGCCCTTGGTCGTCGAATTATATGAGCCAGACTGCTTCAAAAATGTGAAAAAACGACGGATCTTTCTGTGAAATTTATTTTTTGTTCCTGTGCATTCGCCCAGTGGAGTAACGGATGCTTGTGCTGCTGGAAACGTTGTTATGTTAGGGAGCCGTTGCCACCCCATCCTTGATCAAGAAAAAAAGATCAACCTAAATAAAAGAATGGAGTGGAAAACCACTCCATTAACATGATGGGTGGCTGAAATAAGGTCATCAGGCCCAACCTTGCCAGACTGGAATAATCTTGTCACAAATTACACCTGTTGATGAATGTTCTTGTCAGGATTCAGGAATAACCTTGCCTTTATGTATTACCAAATATGTTGGGACTTCAGGGACTTTTCAGCTCTACAAGGTTTGTTCAGTTCTGAAGGGCAGGAAGATTTGTTTTTTTGTCTGTTCCAGCAGAGGCTCATGACAACAATCTGGTATTGTGATGATGATGTCCTTCCGCCATTCCTACCCCTATACGGAAAAATTCTAGGCAGTTAAACAAGAATAAGACCCTGCATGGCCAATCGGGAAATAAAAAGGATGGACAATCTTGAAGACCAAGAAATTGCACCAACAGAAGCATGCAAGAAGAAAGGAAAAACCTTGCAATCAGAGACAAGAAAAATGGTCAGGTGTCCTGACTTTTGAAGTTTTCGGAACTTTTGTATTTTTTGAAAGCAAATTTGTGGTGTTTTTTGTTCTTATATGTTTCTCAAAATTCGGAGATCAAATTTCAGTGTTTTCTGGAATTGCTCTTGCTAAGATGCGCATCTATATAAACTTTAGCCATCTGCAATTGAAGCAGGCTGGGCAATGCGGGCTTGACTGAACTGTCTTCTTTCTGTTGTGTTTTTCTGTTATTTTCTTTGCCCAGAATTGTTAACTTCTAATTTCTTCGACAAATGTGTATATAGTCTAACATGAACTAGAGTTAAATGCAGTTTCATGAAGTAAAAAAAAACCTTTCAACCAAATGAATGCGCAGAGTTCACTAACAATCCTTTTATCCGACTTTTATTATGCATCATAAACTACTTTCTGCGCATCAAACTGCGCATCAATACGAAATCATCACACAAATAATGCAACACGCTGTGATCTATGTCCCTGCTCAATAATCACTTCTTTCTCATCACTGCAATCACAAAAAGCACACATAATTTCTAGCACTTGAATATCTCTCTCTTCTGGACAGAAATGTCTGCCTTATAAATTGCTGAACCAATTGAGGAATCTCTGAAGAACGGTGGTCAATATCTGTATCTTGGTTGCGACATTTTTTGTTCCTGAGTTGCATCCGGTGCACTTATCAGCGTATGGGCAGATGAAGGAACCATGTCCCTCATAACTCATGCTGCTGGAAATTGTTGTCAACTTCTTTGATGTCGATTCAAGAGCGAATGATTTAACGCCAATGACAGCCACGTCTTGGGTTCCATAATTAATGACGACGGGAGACCCGTTTGATCCCTGCGCATCGCAAATATTTCGTGTCAAAAACGTAGGGTGTCCCATGCCCATCAGAGCAAAAAATCTCAAATTTGAATCTAATGATGAATATAACTGCTGAATGTTGCATAGGAGAAAAAAAACACAAGTGGTGCTCTGCAATTTGACCATAACCTGTTGCCAGGTAAGGGTTGAATCTCAAAGCAACCAAATTGCAAGACTATGTCAAATTCAATGTTTTCTGGATCAAATTTGACACTTTGAGTCTCTCTGATTGCAAGGAAAGTGTTCAAATTGGATGTAAATGTCCCAGAAAATTCAACCATCAAATTGCAGGAGGAAGGTCACATTGTGGGACATCAAAGTTCAAGGTACCACCTATACAAAAAATCAATTTATCAAGTTCTGCATTTTCTCGAAAACCAAAGTCAACTTTATCCTGAAAATTGAGAGGGAAGAAAAGGGGAACATAATAAATTTGACTATGTCAAAATGTGTTAGAAGCCTGATGGGTGAGTCACATTTTGAATATTATGGAAAATGTTCAACGCGCACCTTTTTGAAATCAAAACAATTACAAATTAATTGATTTCAGGTTGAAATTTGAATGCTGATGGCTCTTATTGTATGTGAGACATTCTGTTTTTCAGTTGCTAAAATGGGGCGCGTCTTTTATAGGGGGATGAGATTTCATGAAACTTTTAAGGTGAAAATTTGGGGTACCTGTTTTATTCAAGGGGGCATCGTGTACATACGGAATGAGATCAATTGACTAAATCAAAAGAGGGAGTGAAAATAAATTGAAGTTTGCCACGTGTGTATCAGGCATTTTTGGAAGTGGCAGAAGAGATCAAATGATCAAATATCAAAAAGGCTCAAAATTGTGTCATATTCTTCCTTGCAAGGTCCATCACTTCACAATCATGCAGTCAACCCTTACCTGATGGACCTCCTGCCAAAAATATTTTTGTCCAACAGACCACCTATGAAGGCAGTTTATCCTCTGGCCTAATGGACAATATCTGCCTAATGGACTTCTGTTGGTTGAAAATTAATGGTAAAAAGTAAGATTTTTAATTTTTTCATTAATTGAATTGGCACAACAGACTTTTCACAGAACAGACAAGTGTGTTGCACAATTGAAATCAAAGCATTGAGTATCAACATAAAATCCTTCGTTTTCCTCTTATTAATGCATCACACTGCTTTATGCAAACATTATTCAAGAAAATCTCCAACCAAACACGACAATAAGAATCGAAACGAGGATGTGTGTGAGTTATTGTTCATCCATCGTCAATTCTTCATCACCGAAAACCCCCCGAAATAAACTGTGCTTAATTTGTGCTCCATTACGGATTCAAACATTTCTCGTTTGACGCAAATTTCATTTCGAAAAATATCTGAGCCCATTGAGGAATCCCAGCAGGAAACTTGACAGAATTCGTCTTTTTGGTGCAGCAGTTGTAGTGCTGGCATTACTGTCGTTGAAGATACACTTATCAGCATATTGGCAGACGAACGCAGTATGTCCATCATAACTCATGCTGCTGGCAATTGTCGTGACCCTCGTGGATAAGGCTGGGTTCACAATAATGTAATAAGTTTTGACCCCAACCAATGCTGCCTTTTCGGTTCCGTAGTCAACCACAATTGGAGACCCCATTTTCCCCTGCCATGGAAGTAAATAAATAAAATCATGTCAAGACAAACTCCGAGTACCTGTGGAAAAAAAACTGAGCATTAAAAGAGTAAAATGTGTGGCTATATGAGACTCATGGATCTGGGAAAAGAATTGTGAAAAATATTTTTGGAACCAGCAGCAGCAGCCAAAAAGATGAACATTTTTTTCAATTCCTCTAAAACGTACTCACTATAGAAGTTTTCATCAGTTCAGACTGGCTCTCATGATGAAATACAAGGGTTATTAAAAATTTCGCGTCTCTCATTCTAAACCTGTCTCTAAAATTTCCTAGAAATCTACTTTTTTTGCTAAAATCTTAACTGAAACAGAAAATGTATGCCGAATAAGAGCAGCCTTATCACTCGCGAGTTTTAATTCTCTGATGAAAAAGCAGCATTCTTTCAAACGTACTCTTGATTATTTGACAAAAGTTTACTAAATTTTGAAGGCATCACGTCAAGTTTTTGTTCGCAGTGCGACGTTTTCTGTGCAAAAAATTGAGCATTTCGACGCCGAAGTTAGATTTTTCCATTTTCGTGCTAAAAGTCAAAAATGCCTGACCCGTGCAAAATAATTCTAGACTAAATAATCTTTGTTACTGTGATCAGAGGTGAATATAAGTTTTTTTCAAACAAAATTTCAATCAACATGGTTCCTATATGAGGATACTCCTGGGGGGGGGGATGCTATGAAAATGGTTGTGATAAAAATTTTGTTAGCATTAAACTATTGCTCTGCTTTTTTTCTGGATAGCAAATAATGGAAGGAATTGTGTATAAGTCATGGGAGGGGGGGAATTCTTGAACAATATGGGAAATCTGCAACATGTGCCTTACACGATATTCAAGATTTGATCAACGTACCCAATGTAGGATTTTTTAAATGTTCAAGTTTTCGGCTTATTCGTCAAAGTCGATTGCAATTTTTAAAGAACTTTTTGAATTGAAACCAATGATGCGATTGAAAGCTTGCATAATTTCCACTTGGCTTTCCAAGCATGACTTTTTCTTTTCTTACGATTTTATCCAAGGCAGATGGCAATGAAGTATCGGCCAATTCAAAGCACAAGGACCATTCCAGACTCATGAAAAAGGTGCTACATCCCACGCCGACATAATTCGCCTTCTGAAGTTCGTACACAACTATAAAAAGAATGCAGTATAAGGATAATAATAAAATTTTAAAAAATTAAGAGCTCAGCATGGTCTTTACATTCGTCGAATGAAACTCGCCTGATTGGAGATTTAAATTCCAGTCCAGGATCGTGACGCTCTGTCCAATGTACGAGGAGCCAGCATTTGACATAATCGGGATAGTTTTGACATAGTCTCCCAACACGGCATCAGAAGGCAGTCTCAAAATTGCTGGTTGATTTCTGATTCGAGTGTTCAGAGATGTTTCTCCGTAAGTCCACCTGACATAATCTGGATGGCGTATCACATTGGAGAGTCCCACTTCGAATTCCTGAGAATCTCCCAGAATGGCATGAATTGTTGTTATGCTGTTGAAATAGGGCGAACTTGACTCGTAACTCAGGGGATCGATCACCCAGGCTGTAGTGAGGATGTGTCTGTTGTGGAAAATTGAGAGGGCTGAAATGTAGATCACTGTTACCCCTTTTTTGTACTTGCAAGTCTCCATGCATTTTTTTGTGGACCAGCAAATTTTCAGAAAATTGCTTGCAGACCAGCAAATTTTCAGAAAATTGTATGCAGACCCGAAAATTTTCAAAAAATTGTTTGGTGAACTGGCAGCAGGTTCAAAAAGTGTTATTTCAAAGATTTTGCGGCAGGTATTTAACCATTCAACAGCAGGGAGTTCCTGGCCATCCTGCAGCAAAGTTGGATTTTTTGAGGGAGGAAGGGCATTTTAGTTTGACCAAAGGTCACTGAAATGCCCCTAGGTTTCCAAAGCCTAAATTGGGAATAATCTGGGTGCAGAAACCCACATTGTCTCAAGAAATCCCCAATGTTGATCCTATACTGGAAGTGCATGAAAAAATGCCACCCAGTGAGAAATTTCTTTGGGCGAAATTTTCTGCAGGAATATAAAATATACTGTATCAGACTTTTACCGAATTAGACCTCGGTTAAAATATCAGATTTTAACATTTGTAAAGCTCATGTGGATAAATTTTGGCAAAATATCCAAACTTCACCACACAAGGATTGAAAAGTGTTGCTTTTCTGTAGCAAAAATTGAGTTAAGGAGTCATGGAGCAGCTCTAGTAAAATGTATTCAAAAAATTAGGATTGGCTCAAAGAAAGGTCTCTCATTATTGCAAATTGAAATAATTTATTTCAGCAGGTGAAATTTTGCTTGATGCATGATTAGGAGAAAATCAAACTTTTTTCATCTAATCTCAACTGCCATTGTCCTTCAAAAATTGCAGCTAAAAATAACAATACTTTGTTGCTACTTTTTTATAAAATTCGATTATCCTCAAGAAAAGTCTCCTAAACCAGCAAAACAATGTGTGACCAGTGCTGGTCTGCACACTGAGAGTTGGGGAACACTGACATAGTCACCTAAACCACAGTCAAGTACGCAATTCTGAATACGGTATATAGAGCATTTTTCTTGTGCGAGTGATACTGTGAAGTACTGTACGACAGTATACGGAGTTTGTTTTAAATTGAACCATGAAGTGACTCTTTTTAGGCACAAAAGAGTACGCAAGGTTTGATTTGATT